CTGCTACACATCAAAAGTTTGAAGGTTTCTTCTTGAACAGGGCATCCTTAAATTCTTTTTAGAAAAAAAACCCTGAAATCTCTCTCTCAAAATAGCTGTCATTTCCAGCTGTCCTTAACGGGACTGCTGGTATTCCAAAGCTGAGCACTGTCTTCCTTTGCTCTCAAATCCAAGACAAGTTTCCTTCAGGAAAAAAATGGTAGTGCCCTGTCCTTATCACGTATAGTGAGCATGCCAAATTAAAAACAATCTCAAGTCTGTAACTGGTACCAGGACTTCCACAGATATTCACTCAGTGCTTACTTCTGAAGCAACATATACATGCATATTTACTGCTACCTCTCAAGTACAAAGTCAGTTCTTATGAATAAATACATACAAACATCTCTGTGTGTAAACTACCCATCTGAACGCTGTGATGGCTATGTCCCAGATGATTAGTGCCATTTTGCTTTTTTTCCCCTCTTCTTTTTTTTTTTTCCTTTGGCTTATTACAGGATAATAATCACAACAAAACTCATGAAGAAGGCAATACTGACCTCTATCAATGACACATTTTACAACACTTGAGTTTTAGCTGGTTCAGGCAGAATTGATAGCAGAGATTAGGACCAAAGGTAAAGCACAACAAGAGAATAAGAATAAAAAGCAACAGTCGAGTTTAAATAAGTGAGAACAGCAGCAAATCTCCTTTGGGCTGTGGCCATAATCCCTGTGACATGAGTTGAACGCAGCGACTGTTAAGAGCTTGACACATCTAGTTCCTGTTTGACCTAAGAAGAAAAAGCATAATTGCAGCAGCCCCAAAGAGCAGCAGCAGCCGGGCAGCCAGCGGTGACATTCCATCCCGTAGGAAACGGAAGCCGTAGAGAGCACTCACTTTCCCAGGAAGTCCCACACAAACCCCCCTACGTGTTGCGGTGCGGGGACCGACACCTGGTAGGGAGGGTGCGATTTGCGGGAGGCGTGCTTGCTGAGAAAAGGCACAGTCAGCAAAAACCCCGCACGTACAAAACAAAACAACTCGTGGAACCAGGACGGGGCAGTGTCAACGGAAAGAAAAAGCGAGGAAGGAAACAAAACACGGAATGAGAAGTTACAGAGAGACAGGAGATGATGGAAGGGCAATACGAAAAGCAAACAGTTAGTTATAAAGAAAGGGAATAACCAGACAGCTACAAAAAACCCTCTACATCACCACAGCCTGGAGGCAGAAACAAAACTTATAGACATGTGAACTTAGGGCCCACCTTCCCATAAGAAAAAGCAAAATCCTGCCCACAAAGAATATAAATCAATGAGGTTGTGCTTTCAATCTCATGTGGAGTATTTTCCAGGCTTCTGCGCCACATTCAATACATAATTTTGGGGTATCTTTCCTCCCAGTCACAGCCGGAAAACAGCGTCCCCCACCCCGTAATTAAAATTGTTACAGAGAGTGGAAGCATTTTCCTCTTTATTTTAATTAGAGCTGAAGGCAGCTTTGCCATCATGGAAAAGGCTTAAGAGAATAGTTTTCTCCTTTTCATTTCATCTTCCTCTCCTCCTATATTTTCTCCTCTGATCCCCCATACACACCTCCCTAACAGGCGACTCATTTCTTCTCTTCTATGGATGCAACCATGTTACTATTTCTCTTCTCCTGATGACCTGTGGTCTAGTTGTCACATATGGGGTAATGGTTTTAAAATAGAGGGAGGTAGATTCAGATTGGATATTAGGAAAAAATTTTTTACCATGAGAGTTGTAGAACACTGGAACAGGTTGCCCAGAGAGGTGGTGGATGCTCCATCCCTGGAGACGTTCAAGGCCAGGTTGGACGAGGCCCTGAGCAACCTGATCTAGTTGGAGATATCCCTGTTCCTTGCAGGGGGGTTGGACTAGATGACCTTTGAAGGTCCCTTCCAGCCCTAACCATTCTACGATTCTATGATTCTATGATATAACTAGCATAAGGAAAAACTTCAGGGAAAGACTCTCTCTCTTGAAAAATCCCATTTTTCTTAGTACAGTTATTTTTTGATTGTTGACTTATTTCTTCTCACCTTGCTCTACACAGAATAATAACGGTTCCTGATAAGCACAGCAATATTCACTTTTTTGCTTGCTGCAAGCACTAGGGTTCTTCTTTGCACAGCAGAGTTTGAACAGCTGCAGAAGCATTAGTAGTCAAGATAATTTCTAACTCGCTCTGCAAGGACCACACTTTAGGAATGACTTTTAAAAGGTAAAATTACCTATTCTTTTCAGGAAACCAAGACTCTAGCTCTAAAACGCCCATGTAACATGCCCAGATAGTTCAGCCATGAAAGAATACTTTAAACAAGCACAGTAGATAAAACCAGGACAAACCCATACATTTAATAGGCATGTTAAAAAAAAAAAAAATATCTCTTATTTTGTGTAAAAACTCACAAGGAGAAAGCAAGCTTCTAGAGAATCGAGATTTGGGGAGCAGCTGAAAATGACTAAAGCCAAACAAAAATTTTCATCATTCAGAAAAAGAGAAATCAGTAGTCAAAACCTCACTACAAAGTATTTGAAACCTCTTTATCTTTTTCTCCAGTGCTGTGATTATATATTACAGTTCCACCAGAAAAATCATTTCAGGTGTTGATACTTTGCTAATTTACCACACCAAGAGTATGCACCTTAGGTCTCTAGATCTTCAAGACTTTTCCCATTTCCACTTATAGTGCTTAGAGAACGTGAATATTCTTAGATTATTTTTTTTCTCCTTGATTTACATGGCTGCTGGCAATCACATGATAACAAAAGTAGTCTTTTCTTTGACATAGCTGAAATATCTATTCTAATTACTAGAAATAAATGACATATTCTATTTTATCTCAATACTAGTTGAAAAGATGACAAGATGGTAAGTTAAAAAGAGAAGAGGACCACTCTTTTTTTTGTAAGAGCAAAGATCAGCTGGTAAGAAGGAATGGATAGCACTGAATAGTCAAAGTATTCACTAAATTGTTATGGAATGATGTCGAATCATTTGGGGGTTTTATGCTTTCATTGATACAGTAAGAGCTTGATCAGTGACTGAAAAAGCAAGAAACTACCACTGTAACATGAAAAACAATAATTGCTTTGCAGATGTCTGGAACTGCATCTTTTCAAAGAAAAAAGTTCCCTTCCTAACTCTTTGAAGACTGTGTGCCAATGCTTTTATCTGTAAAAGACAAGGAGGCCCATCTTTGTTTATCTTCTTGGTTATTTTTGCTTTTTAGGCAAAAATAACTCTTTTGATCATAGGCCACTTATATGTGTTTTTCAGTGTTTGACACTGCAAGTCCCAATCTTGATTAGAGTTTCCGAATGCTAATGTAATTAAAAAATTAGACTTGTGTTAAAAGCGTGCATAAGAAAATTCTCCTCCTGCCATTCCAATCTCCTCTAGGAATCAGGTTGAGGAGTGATGAATATTTCTGACTTGCTTTTCCTAAACAGTAAATACTTCTGCCCACAGAAAAAAATTAAGGCACTATGAACATATTTCTTCCCCATACCTTACTTCTAATAGAAGTTTGTTGCTTATACCTTGATCCCTAGTCAACTTGCACGCCCTAAAATGATGACATGGTGAACTCCACACCCGAGACAGGCACCCCTAAGGGACTGAAAAAACCCCACACAGACAAATACAACTTGTAACTGCTATTTAGCTTTTTCATGTCTGTGCTAAATGCACCTGCTCTATCAACGTATCACATGAACGATCTGCTGAATACATCATGTGCCAATGGGCTGACAGTTATATCACTGAGAAAAAAGGAGAAGACAGTTAAAAAGGATATATATTCACTTCTGGGTGTTCAAGCTTACACCATTGGTACAGAGAATGCTGGTTAAATAAAATAACTACTTAAAGAAAACTAAGAGGATGCTGCTTACAACCACAAAGAGAGAAGAAAGCCAGCTGACAGGTTGAATTGTTTTAGAGCTCTGTCAACCTCCAAGGAAAAAAGACTAGACTTCTTGGAAAAGAGTTTTTCAGATCATCCAGAAAGGCCTATAATTTGACTATCATCAGGCCAATGAACAGTAACCATTGCCATCATGCAGAACCTAAAATGTCCTCTACTCAGTTCCCCTGATCTCCCTGACACTAAATGCAGAGCAGTTAAATAGTGATAGGATAGAAATTAGAAAGACTATTCTGGCACAAAGCAAATGGGCATAATCAAATTTCTATTTTGCTCTTCTAAGTCAGTGATTTCTCATTGCAAACTGTCAAGTAAACACAAAACACCAAACAGGTATTACTGCCTAGAAACTCCCTCCTGGCCCACTATAAAGTGAGAAAAAAAACAGAAAACAGAATCTGTTTCAGATCTTTACCAAATGTGCTATTTATAATTGCGATGCAAATGTCATGGCATCATAATAAATTGCAATTTTTCTTTGCAACATTAAAGTCTGGAAAAAATATCTGAGCACCCCGGCTCCACCAGAAAGACAGAAAATGTCGAAATGATGGAAAGATGGAAATGCCAAATCACATTTCACTTGGACAAAAGCAAATCTGTTCATTTGGCTTCACACGAGCCAAGGTTTACCTGCGTCCCTATCAGTATGAAGGGTGACAATACCACTTGTCAGAAAAACCTGAGTAACTAGTATCACAAGCTCTTAAAAGTAGTTTTTCTTGTTTGATTTTTGGAGAACCACGCCTGAGGAATTCATTAAATCAAAAGAACAAATTGTTCTCCAAACACACCACAGTGTCGGCAACTTTTCCTGCCATCTCCATTCCCTTACAGCTCTATTTACCCTTCTAGTTCTATCTGTATCTGCCCTATTTTTGAGCAGCCAGGTAACACAGTAAGACACTTTTCACTTACAATCCACCAAAATAAAGGACTGAAGGCAGAAAAACTCTAAACAGACTTTCCCAAAATAGGCACTCTAAGGTTTTTAAGAAAAATGGACTGTTATCTCCAACTTCAATCAGCTCTTTTGCTCCTCTAGCAACTTTATACCATTCTCACCTCTCCAGTTCTGCTATCTTCTTATCTTTATCATTCTTCTCATTTTCCATCTCTTTCAAGATTTCAAGAAGACGATCCACTTCAGCTTGAGCCTTGCTAGATTCTTCTCGATACCGTGTTACCTCCCTTTCCAGCTGCTGCATACGATCACTCAGCTCTGGGCTGGCCCTAGCCTCCAGTGTTGCCTCGTGAGCCTGTAAGAAAAAAGTCCAAGAAAAAACACTTCGTTCACACCTATATATTTTACAGATACTATGATGACTGCAAAACGCTATCTAGATATCTATTTCGAAATGGAAAGATCAACTATTACACAGAAATGAATACAAAGTGCATATGCTACCTTTAAGTACGGGGAAATATTTTCTAGGAAAAGGAAAATTCAGAAACCAATTCATTTTTTTTTAATTCAGCCTCAAAAAAAATTAAGTGACTTTCTGATCTGAAACAATCTACATAAGAAAAAAGTAAAAACATGAAGAAAGTTAAACTACTTTGAAAGAAAGAAAAAAGTGTGAGTGGGTATAAAAATTCCTAAAATACACTTCTAAAACAGTGATATGACTGTAGAATTAGTTATCTGAGGTATTTTTAACCTAGATAATCTAGAAAAAAAAAATCACAGGTTAATAATCTTCAATACTACATCAGCATGCAAAGTGTCAGACAGGTTTGCACAAACGGTGCTGGTGTACTGAAGTCCTTGCTAGTTATCTAAGCTGCACAGACTATGACTAACATGAGCACGGCTACCTACTGAAATTATCTTTGCCCCATTATCTAGGAAACCACAAATTTTCAAAATCAGGCTACGGGAACAAAAAGTAGCAGAGGACTGAGGATAAAATGACGCAAATGAAGAGTTTGGGGTTTTTGTTGTTGTTGTTTTTTAAATGGCTCGGTTGGCTATAAAAATCACTAATTTATTAGTAAAATTAATTCAACAGTTCCCAAGCATATTAGAGACAAAGAAAAGGCAGTTCCATTTATGCTGGAATTTAAAACAACAGACTAAGGACTATCTTTTTCTTTCCCCCCCTGCCCCTCTGCTCTTGGATCTGGAACTGTTACTTGATATCAATTAAAACTATTTCAGAATTGCTCACGTTTGCTTCAGTGAATAGCATGTTTGGTGGAGCTATTCTGCTGACCAAGATTGGCTGCAAACTCAAGACCTTTCTCTTCTCTGAAACAAACCTACAGCAGAAAATCAGACTACAGACATTTTTCTCCGCTCTGTGCGTCTGCAGAAAGTTGTTTTGCAAGCTGCCAGCGTTCTGCTCCAAAGCACGGTAAGTCTAAATCCTGTTGCTTTTAAATCCTAAATTCTGTTGCTTTTAAAGGTAATTGGACAGAACTGTTGCAGCATCAAACTCAGGGTTAGAAGCTGCTGCTTCCAAAGAATCAAACAGCAAAACTACATTTGGCTAAATCTGTTTAGTTATTCAGCAAAATAAGACCGGAGGAAAATATCTGTTCATTGACCTCAACATTTTTGCCTTGAAGTCTCTTGTTTCTAATTAGCTTTGTTAAAGCCAAGGCCACTTGGCTAGTGAAATCCAGGAGAATCTCAGAGCAGAACATTCTAGGACTGAAGAACAGCTCAATGCCTGTCTCTACTGGGACTATGACCTTGGGAAGGATCTGGGTTTCCCAAATACTGGAATGCTTCATGTTCCAGGGCCTTGGCCCTGCAGCTCCTGCCTGAGGGTCGATGCTGAAATGCTTTGGTCTTTTTTTTTAGGCAGGAATTCCAGAATGCTGGATAACCTGCACAATATTTTATCCCAGAATAAAATGCCTGGCGATCCTCAGGCCTCCCAGGCAGATCTCAGCAGAAGAGCCCAACAACCATAGACCCGTGAAGAACAGAAACCCTTCCTGAGGCAACGCATTTAGGAAGATTTAAAAGGCTCCCTACTTTTGAGTGACTTTCAAGTCAAACCCCGCCGCTCCTTTGTCGCTGAGCTGTAAGTCTGAAAATCCCGCTTCTGAGCTTCTGACTGAGATCCAGCATCCCTGGAGAGCCTGGAAGCTTTGAGAAGCCTTTTGGAGTTGGGGCTGGCAATGCTTCCAGATTCCTTACTGGCCCATAAGTACCTCGAATTACACATCCTTGGAAAGGGCTTGCTACAGCAAGTGGAAGTCTAATTAATGTGTTGCCAAGATGATGCAGACTCCAGGAGGATGTTGCAGCAATGAGACTGACAAGCCTGTCCGTTCCATGAACAGCCACGAGCATCAGGGAACATGCTTTGCTTTGGAACGAGAGTGTTGGTGGGTGTTCCTGAAACGTCTCACTGGGATTTCCACCCTGTGGGAAATCTGAAATATTTGATTTCATTTCCTTTTGAACTATGCTTAAATTTCAAACAAAAACTCCATCCTTCCCTCCCAAATACTGTTTTGCAGGAACTAGGAACACTGTTTTGGAGGGGCATCTATGTTCTCCCAAGAGACACTATGTACAGAGTTAAGTCTGTTTTCACCAGAGGCAAAGCCTGAATTCTTCTGTACTGGATTTAGGTATGTTTCCAACATCTCAAACTGTTTGTTTTAACAAATACTCCTCCAGGCTCTTTTAAGTCATCCAAAACACATAATCAGATAATCAAGAAACTTCTTTAAAAACAAAAGCACAGCTAGGCTGTTAGCCTAGATTACTAAACTTTCTAATTTAAAATAAGTTATAAGACCTAATGCCATTCTACTGACAGGACAGTCCTGATTTATATTGCTTTGTGCTAATAAAAGCATCTCCACAACAACCCAAGAGAGACTACTGAGAAGAGGAAATCAATTTTCTTTTTTAGAAAATTAGCCAACAAGTCAGTGTGTCTGGTTCTTATAGAAGGAAAGGGCTATTTACACAACATAAATTATTAGTTAAGACACGTAACACATGTTATTTGTATATAACACACATAAGTACGGATACTTTCACCCAACACAAAGAGAACGTTATGTGATATGGTGTAAACTGGAGACCACTTCCTGAGCTGTGAATAACTGACTGAGTGACTTTGGTCTATTTTGTGGGTTATGTACAAAATACGTGTTACATGACCCTATCTAAAACCCTACTGCATTCATTCATTGTATAGGAGAGAAAAGCAATGCATTTAGAGGTTTCCCACAAACTCACATCAAGATCTGGAACAAATGAAATTGGCTACCTTCCCAATGTGACATTGTGCGAAATAATTCAGCAGTATTTTTTTTTTTAACCAAAAAGAAAGTTAAACACAAAAAATGAATTCCCAAATTGACAGAAAAAAAAAAAAAAAAAAAAAAAAAGAGAGAATCCACATACAACTTCCCTCACCCACCAAAGGTGTATGAAAATTCCAAAATAAGGCAGCGATTTTGTTTTTGAAACAGAATGGACATTCAAGGTGATGAATACACTAAAAGAGTTTCTGCTGTATTAAGAGACTATAAGAGCATTTCGATAGGTTCAGCTCTGCCTGGGACAGTATTCTTAAATCTGCAACATCTTAATATAAACGTGAAAATGTAAAAAAGTATGAAAAAATTCAGTAAATGGAAAAAACAGCTTGCCAAGGGTGAAGGGAATATTGCACTTTCTCCTCTGACAAACGAGAAGTGAGAAAAGTCTACCCAGGCCACTGAGTTCACCTGACTACAGGCTATTTTAAACCCCTGAACTGGTACTACTGACCCTGTCATTAGCTCTCCACGTCCCTTCCAGTGTGGGGCCAAACAAGTGAATTCAAGCTACCTTCAAGAGCATGTTTGATTCTGCATAAGAGACACAGTCACACTTCAGCTAGAAAGGAGCACCTTCTTAAGCCATGTTTTTATTAGCAAAGCTCATCTGATCAGTATGAATCTTTGCCAGTGTGAATTTAATTTCAAATTCTAAGTGGTTCAGGACCAAGAATTGTTTAAGCTTACTACTCAGGATATGCTCTTGAAGTTCCTAAGAGGGACTAAACTAAGAGGTGGTTTAACAGCTTTCTGCTTTTCTTAGCCATCATTTCCCATCTGGAATGTGGTAAGTGATGGGGTGAGTGCTTCAGGTACCTAAAGAATAAAAGAAAGAGTGATTGTTCCTCAAATAAATGTACTATAACTTCTATTGCTTGCACAGAAAATGAGCTGACAAAGCCAAATTCTACAACTAAAACAAAGATGACCAATGTTTCACAGGAATAACCAGTATTTACATATGGAGAAGAGAGGAAGACAAAACACATTAAAAAGAATTTTCTAAGTTAATATTTCTTGTGCCAAAAAAATCTTTGCAAAGAGGAAAGGTGATCTTACACAGCTTCAAGTGTGCCAGAGGTAGGGAAGAAAACAATAGCACAGATCTAATTTAAAAGTTCTAAAATGTAAATAAAAATTCCAAACATTATGACTAAGATTCCAAATCGATATTCCGAAAAGATTAACTAAATCGAACAGCAAATAATTCACAGCAAACACTTTCTACATTTACCTATGAATTGAGACAGTAAATTCAGTTTAACATTTCACATACAGATGTTGCCAAGAACTTTTGGCCACAAAGCAGAAGTTTCCAAGAATCTGAAATCTCATTTTAATCCACCCTCCTACCTCCGAGTGTGCCTCACGTCTCCTAAAAACAGTAAATGTGCACACAAACACAAAATATATTGTGACTATTCTATTTGCTGCAAAAGACACATACATATAACCTAGGGATAGGACAAGGGACAACGGATTTAAACTGAAAGAGGGGAGATTTAGGTTAGATATAAGAAAGAAATTCTTTACATTGAGGGTGGTGAGGTACTGGAACAGGTTGCCCAGAGAAGCTGTGGCTGCCCCATCCCTGGAAGTGTTCAAGGCCAGGTTGGATGGGGCTTTGGGCAACCTGGTGTAGTGGAGGATTTCCCTGCCCATGGCAGGGGGGTTGGAACTAGATGATCTTTGAGGTCCCTTCCAACCATAACCATTCTATGATTCTATGATTTTCTTTATTTTTCCTATCCCAAGGACAGCAATTCAAATGATAAAACATGTAAGCTGCCTTCTATCGTGTCTTATTAGTTTCAACAAAATTATACATCTGAAAAACAACAAGACTGGCTCCTCCTTTAGTTCCAATGTTCTAAACACGTATTGTAACACAGCTCTTCAAAAAGGCTGCACTGGAAGGAAAAGGCTCTGAATTCTCTGACACACCATGCTTCAGAAAACTTGA